ATTTTGTTTCCCTTTTTATTGAAATACACTTTCATTTGCTTCCATATGATTACAGTTTATTAATTTTCTTCATTTATATTACATTTCAACTAAATCACAATGCATTGGCCCTATCTGACAATTGGTCATTTTTCTGTTTCATATTCAGCCAATAAAGTGTTTAATTTTCTAAAATTTCAGATTGTGTGTTGTCTTTTTCCTTCCACTTACAACAAATCACTACTACTGTCCCTTGGTGGGTCATTGATAGACTTATGGACTTAGAATGCTAATATCCGGAGTTTGAATCCATACAATGTGTAGAGCACAAATATCCATTGTGTAGCTTTGCACTAAAATACAACACTACACCCTTACAGGGTCGATATTAGCCTATTTGTTCTATTCAGGTCCAAGAGTAGAGGGTTAAGCTTGGAACCATTCCACCGCACATTCAGTTACTTTTTTCTTCTAGTTTGCTTACGCCATACAGTAATAGAACACTTAATGAAACACCTCTTTTGCAACATTCTACATCCATGATATAAATATTTTCAGTACAGAAAAAAAACCTTAAAATGCAGAATACACGTTTTTAGAGAATAAAACATAAACACACGGAGCCATCTAAGCATATACACTTACCTTTTTTAGTAACGCCTCCATAACCAAGTTTTTAAGTGTATATAATACCCACTTAAAAAACAGCACTCATTATATTCACTTCATATTGCTATTGATAACCGAATAATCAATTGTCGTTGTTATGGAAACGCACTATGATGCTCATTTATAAGAAATTTGTACACTTAGTAATAACATGCAAAATAAGTGGCCAAATTACACCTAAAATGTAAATAAACAGTTTTTTTAAGTGAAACGATAATCAAAAACACCAATTTTACACTTTCCCAACATTAGCTGATGCCTGTAGCACATTACTCAGCGAGTTAAAATAGAATGCTAAATAACACTAGTTTTCTCTAAGACATAAATGCTAATTTAGTTAAGGTACAAGTAAACACAAATGCTTAAGACGTGGTCCTTGTATGCTTTTGCAGAGTCCAACTTGCAGCAACTATCATGTTCAATTGATAATTCAGCCAAGCCATTCAGATGAACTTGCGGCATGGTTGAATGCAAATAGTTCTTCACCAGTTCCAAACGTAAAATGTATCTCCCTTTTGATACCATAATTACAGGTACAATAAAAAAGATGTGTAATGCAAGGCTAAGCTTTGGTTGCAGCTCTAACAATTTTTCTTTGTAAGAGGTAGCTGAGCATCTCCAGAGACAAACTAGACACAACAGCTGGTAACGCATTTACAGCTGAGTGAATTTCTAGGTTCAAGTCATTACAACCAATTTCACCCATTTTTAGAAGCAAATGTTTGCATCTTTCACTTAAGATTTTCATATCTTTGATCTTGAACATTTCTGTGGTACTAAATTGAAAGCCTAAGAAACTGTAGAAAAGTACAATTGAGAAAATAGTTCAGTAAGGCTAAATTCAGTTGTTTCAACTGGCAGAAAGAATGAATTTTATTTAAACTTTTTCCCTGTAACATAATCTAGATATCCATTGTAAAACACCACTTCCTTCTTTTGGTTTCTCTATTCTGGAAATGTTATCTCGATGTCCATCTGGTCTGTGATTTCATGTGCAGAACGTGAGCTGATGTAAACCTATTTTCTCCATGATCTTACAGAAATTTAAGGATTGCGTGAGTTTCATTTTCAAGAATATCCACAGTTACATTGTTGTATTGAAGCACTGTGTTTGCATGATTTATTTGAAACAAAATATTCTACAACAATACAAAAAAGATTAGGAATTGCCCTGAAGGATGCAAGGATCTGTGCATCTTATGCAATTGCACTGTCCTTTTTTTTCTGAATTGGGTGATCTGCTAGTACTTTGAGGGTACCATGCACTTCATTGAGTTAATATTGAAGCACTTTTAAGAGTATCTGACAGTTTGAATATGAACCTGCATTGAGTAAAAGAACTAAAAATAACAAAAATACGATCTAGCACCACAAAAAAATTTCACAGACAACACAGATGATTTAGCAGCACCAAGTACAACCATTATATATAGGCTGTGACTGTCGTAAGGCATGGACAATTTTTTTTGTTAAAGTCCAGCATTCTTTGCTGCACACACTGCCTTTTCCCATTCATATTGCTTCCATTGTCATAGCTCTGTTCTCTGCAGTTATCAACATTGATTTATAAGTTCTGCAGATGGTCCATAAAGGTATTGCATAGAGCATCACTAGTAGTTACTTCAGTAGCAAGAAATCCATTAAAATATTCCAAAATTGCCTTAATCGATAATTAACAATGCACAGTGTACTTGACAATTGCTCAGTTTGGTTGACGTCTGGTGTATTGATCATGATCACACGAAAATGCCTTGCTTGATTAATCTTTTCGACAATAGCCTGAATGGTGTGTTTTCCCATTCGGGTAATCAGTTCATTCTGAATACCTATAATTAATGGGGTAATGATCTGTAATTTCCCTTTTCTTGATTTGCCTCGTATGTTCGATCATTATGGGAACAAACTTGCCAGTAGTTCCCACTGCGAGGATTATGAAACATTTCTACTGTTCCACAAAAAACCAAATTGCATTTTGCGAAATGACAAACCATGCAAGTAAAACATATCTCTAATAATTATATTCCATTGAAATTGGCTCCACTATCTATAGTTTTATTGCCTTTAACCCCTTCGTTCAGGTTCTGCTATGACTCTTTTTTTTGTGAACATGTACCAGTGAATATTCGTGTTCTTTCATACTAGAAGCCCCCCCCCCCCCAGTAGCACATCAGCATGTCTGCGGACTTACAACGCTAAAATCCGGGTTTCGATACGCATGGTGGGAAGAGCATAGATAGCCCTTTGTGTAGATTTGTGGTTAACTTCAAACAAACAATCATACTAGAAGAAAGGTGCTTCCACATATTGAAGCCATTCTTCAAGCAGTGTTAACATGTTTTCCAAAAATAACACAGCAAAAACAAAGCTGAAGACTCAGAATGCACAAGCTATGATCGCCTCTATTTTGTAGGTCATATAGTAGTTATCCTCTGTAAAGTATGCGGGATCCTTATCATTATTTTATGGAAATTCAATATCCAATATCTGTATAAGATCTATTTCGACAACTTCGGGTTTTTGCCTATTATTTAGCATTTGTGGCCATTTCGCTGAGTCATCAGATAATATCTGAATAAAATCTACCTGTGTGTACCCTGCAATCCAGCATCCTGTAATTCAACTTATACATTTTCCTTAGTTTCAACTGGTGTTTCTCCAAGATCAAGAGCCTTGGAATTTGATCAACAGAGATAAAACATTTGACATTTTCTTTCTCTTGTGATGTAAAGATTGTGGTTAATTCTAAATATTTTTGCGTCAGCGAGATCACGTGACTATTCTCACGCCCTCTGCTTTCTAGAACTATCCTGTATTTTGGCGAATGCTCTAGCATTTACTAGATATAGGGTAGTCTGTTATATAAAAGAGGGTGACAACGTGACGGTAATGTGTGTGTAGGTAATGAGTAATTGAACTGCAGTCAGAGAGAGACGTATTGTTGAAGTTAACGTTCGTTGTTACAGCGTTTGTTTTAGCGTGATTGTTGAAATTAAGTGTATCGTAAAGTTATATTCGGAAAGAATAAACCAGTTTTATTAAATAAGGACTTGTGTCGCTAAAGTTTCGTCGGAACGAAGTTATGGAAAGTTAATTAACAAACGGAGACGTAACAATATGACCCTAATTGTTTGGCATTTTCCTAAGAAATCCGACCTTACTGAGTTATTTAATTTTGAGTTTACATATTGCAGTTTCTTTCTAGTGCAAAATCAATCGATTGCACCTTGGTAGTGCAGGTATAATTAATCGAACAGAAATGATTGTATTTCATCAGTCGAGCATCAGTACTATTCGAGCATCAGTACTATTATAAATTTTCGTGTTGAATTTGATTTTTCTGTAATCTGTGGATATGACGTTGTTTAGCTTTGCGGGGTCCCCCATCGCGTAGAGCCCAGGACAATTACTCTTAGTCAGAACTCTTTGCTAGATAAGCCTCTATGTTAATTTTAGCATTGTTACGACAGCGGAAATCACGTGACGGTGGTAACACGTGATGAGTTTCTAGAAGATTCACGAAAAGACAAGATGTACGCTTTTATAATATAAAAGACTGCCAAGAAGTGACGGCAACAATGGAATTGAATTGCGGACAGAGAAAGAGACGGACAATTGAGTCAAGCGCGGTAATGCGTTTGTTTAAGTTAAACTGACTGTGGAAATTAAGTGTATTGCAAAGTTGTATTGAGAAAGAATAAACCAGTTTTATTTAAGAAAGGACCTGTATCGCTAAAGTTTCTTCGGAAAGAATTTTTACGGAAAATTAACAAACGAACAGAGACGTAACAGTATTATTATATTAATATACACAGATGCTAGTGGCAAAAATTAAACAGCTCATGTTTGAGAATATAGTATGCCCAATTTTTCTTGCTTTAAGGCGTACTCTCTTTTTGTTCCCCAGTGGGAAGGTGGTAAGTTTACGGACTTATAATGCTAAAATCCTGGGTTTGATTCCCTGTGTTGGACATAAAAGACAGCCAAATGCGGTTTTGCTCTAAAACAAACAAAGTACCATCTTTCCCTTAAACTGTGAGCTCTTTAATTTATCTCAGTAACACGATTCACAATTTTCTGAAAGCAAATGTTAATTCAGCAGTACTTTTAATAATTTAAAGATGATAGGATTTATGTGGCAAACTAAGGTACAAAAACAAGAGATGGTAAAATATATGTGTAAGATTTTACTAGATAATTATATCACAAATTCACCGATATTTTCATCAAAGATTAGTTAATACATACAAAGCGTTGTTTTCATAACTGTTCTCATTTATATTATGACAATGAATGTTTATATGTGTATTTTACATTGAGTCGAGATTTTATTGATGTGAAGCCAAATTATATATTTTAAGAAGTCAACTCTTATCTATAGTTTGTAATCGAGTTCTTTGAACTGGTTTCCCGCGTCAGAAGTAGTTTATAAATAGTGTAATCTGTATTCGGTTAATTAATTCGTACAAGTTTTGGTTTTTTTGAGTAACTAAGTAAACAGGGCTAAAATAAAAGTAAAAAAGGCCTATTTTTTGTTGACCACTCATTTTATAGTTTACAGAATGAGTGAGAAAATGCAGTATAAACCGGGAGACTTGGTATTCGCAAAAGTGAGAGGCTATCCACCTTGGCCAGCAAGGGTACGTTAAGTGACTTAAGTCTTAAAGTTATTAGAATTTAAATATAATTATGAATATTCGGATATCTTGACAGGGTTAGGCTTAAGTTATAGAGTAGACTTAATGTTGATTCATACTAGTTGTACTCCTATCGAACTTGGAAGTGCGTATTTCAAAATGTTTAAAAAGAGTTTTAAATTAACCTGATTTCTTTCTTTCGAGTCTTTTGAATTTTCCACCGGAACATGTAGAAGTTCAATCGACAATGTTTTAGCATTATAATTTATATTAGGCAAAAAGAAGCCAATGGTTCATTGTCACAATAAGTGATAACTTGAATATGTTGAATAACATGACGATGTCTTAACTCTGAATAATTTAAGTTGTAACCTTGAGTATACATTTTTAACTATATATATATATATTTCTTAATACATAAGTTGAATTGAATTTATCTTGTCTGAAGTTGTCATCAGTACACTTATGTGAGAGTAAGAGTGTGCAGTGAAAACTTAAACAAGAGGTATTGGATTTGGAGCCTATGTGAATCATAGTGACAGATAATTTATATGAACATGAAACTGAAAGACTACATATCAGATTTTTTGATCCTGTGATTGTTTGTTTTGAAAGGTGAAGGATAGTATAAGTTGCAAGAATTAGATTTTGATGTTTCATGTAATTATACCATTTACAGTCTAATTAAATGTTTGAAATATAAGAGTTGACAATCTCACGGACAACAAGGGACCATTTGAACCTTAAAAGGCTGCCACTGCACCCCCATCCTAAAGAAAATTATTAATTTTATTAACCGTGTCTGTAGCTTTTTTATAGTTCTGTAATCTTCAGTAGTACCTTCCAGTTTAAAATTCTTCAACTTATGTTACTTATGTCTGGTTTTAAGCATTATATCCATAGTAAGCCAATAGGTGTAATTTTTCCTGGTATCTTTTTCTTATCTTTGGAACATGCCTATCTTGAATTAACATTCCTTGAATTAAACACTATTTATTTTTAACAATTTTTCATACATGTATAACGTCACCTGTTATCCCAATTTAGTAATGGTAAGTCTTCTCTGTTGGCCACAAAATTTTCAAAGTAAAAAGTTTGAATAGAACATAATACAATACTTTCAGCACAGGAATTATAAATTATAATCAAGAGTGATATCTCAGTATGGAAGTGAAAGGTCAAATAAATATTAAGTATTTAAGGGTGCAGAAAGTAATAAAATTTTTGATATTATTAATTGACATAATCTAATCAGTTTAATTTTATACGATTAATTTATAAAATTTGTTATACTAAATGAAAGTTTGATCTAAATAAGTAAAATGGTATTATCTAACCCTGATGAATAGTATATTTATATTAGATAAATTAAGAAAATTAAATATAATTTTCTCTTTGTGGTATGTATAAGACAGATCCATCCCCCACCCCAAAACTGTAACATGACATTATGGACAATAAGGGACCATTTGATCCTAAAAGGCTACCCTTTCACACTTATCCTGAAGAAAAGTAAAAATGTAAACCCTTTCTTTTTGTTTCAGAAAATCATTGATTTCCCACTTTTGAGGTGTTGGTCTTCACTACTGCTGATGGTAACTCGTTCTATAGGCTAATCACTATTAGAAAAATTGAACTGTCTTAACTAGAACCCAGCCTATCTTGTACGAATCTTAAACGTGTGTTCTTGTTCTGTTGTCTTCAGAATATGCAAAAAGAAGGTTGTTGTATCAGTTCTTTGGATAATCTAGTTAACCTCAATAAGATCAGCTTTTACTCTTCTTTTCTCAAGATAAGGTAAGAAATCTTAACCTATCCCCATAACACAATCCACTCATACCTGGAATCATCTTAGAAGCCCTATCTGAACCAATTCCAGTAAATTAATAGCCTTTGTTCAATAGGGAGGCCAAAACTGTAAACAGTATTCTATATGAGGCCAAACTGGGGGTTTGGATGAAAGTGGTTATCCATAGAATCTCTGGATCAGAGGTGAAATACCTGTGACAGAATTAATGATGTATCCAGTGCCTTCTGTAACAATTATGTCTTGCCTTCAGATCATAGTAATACCCTCTTATTTTGATTCTATGGTGTGTTTTTACATGTATCTGTATGATGAGATGAAAAAAGAAATAAATTGTTGTTTTTCATTATGATGTAATCTGACAAAGTTTCATTTTGAAACTGATAAGTTGTGAATTTTCAGCACCAAAAGAAATGTTTGTGATTATTATGTAATAATTATAGGGCTAAGTATGCATCCTTTAGTCTAAGAGTCAGGCTGGTTGCCAATTATTGTTTTCAAAGTTGCAGCAAGTAACAGCTCATGATCAATTATTGAATGCATTACAAACAAGCTCCATGATAATTCAATTAAAGTTGTGTTTATTTTGATTGTGAACTGTGTACATATGAAGACCAGACTAATCAGACATGATCATTTAACAGGCCACATGTTTGAAGCTCACCCATGAATATACAAATCAATCAGATAGTACCTTCTAATTTCACTGACAGTTGCATGACAGGTTTTTGACAGATAGGAAACCATATAACATCTTTGAGCTCAGTTGTTGTTTACATGAGTCAAGCCAGCTTGTAATACATATATTACGTATCTGTATTTAACATTTGCCTCAAATTGTAAATGTGTTTGGTATTGATAGTTATTCTGAAGTCAGTAACAGTGTTAGAACACTAAGAAAAATGCATTTTTACTTTTTTTCACAAACCTGAACCAAAGTTTCTGTGTGTTCATGCTGTGCATGAGTTGAGTCAAAGTTCACATGCCATAACCTTTTACAGAGTGTCAGAGTTATCAACTATTTATTTTACACTGCATTGCTGATTTAGCAACATTTCATAATAGAGTAAATACCAGATAGGATATACAGGGATACTGAAAAAATAAAACTGGATATGGATTTAGGAGGTTCTAGAGGTTATACAAATATGATGTGCAAATTGTATAATTGACAAAAGTATTTTTATTTTGCACATGAATATCACCTCGCTTTCTGACTTGTCATAGTGTGAGCCAAACTGACGTTGTCAACTCACAGACATATTTGTAGTGCAAATACTTTTGTAACACATCTGGGTTTTTGGTGCAACTTGTAAGTTTTTCTTGATCTTTAGGTGTGATAAAACCCAAATCTAATTATGCCATGATCACACTTTCCCAAATGTTTCCCACTTTCTATTTTTGCAAGCACATGCTCATTATTGGTTAACAAAAAAATTAAAATTGCATTCATTATGGTTGTTTCCTTAACCATTTGGTATATAAAAACCATGCTGAATCACTTTAAGAAACCTCTCTCCTGACTACTTTATTCAATATTATTTCAATGTGTTTAAAATTCAATTATCCCATTAGTATTAATTAATAGTAAAAACTGTGACTTCATTATAATATAGTTTCTAATTGGCATCATTTATCTGATTGAGTAGCCTATAAAATTATGCCAGTTAGAAACTTCTTACTCATGGAAACACTTTATTGTAGCTCACAGAGATTCATCCTTTTTTTTTTAATGTGTTTAGTCTCAATGTACTGTTGTATGCAGTAACAATCCATAATCTTCTGGCAAATATCCCTTTTAAGTACTGGACCATCTTATTACAATTTTACTATCAAAGTACATAGTAGAATGCCATGTTTGTTTTTATAGTGGTCAGTTTGAACATATTTTGTTGGTTCAGTTTTGTTGATTGTGCTTACACATATACTGACATCAATATGTGGGGGTTCATTCTGTTTCTCATATCTAAATATTTCTATATATATGACTATGTTTTTATTTTGTTTTGCTCTGTTAGCTGGCAAAATAGATATTTTATTACAATTGTTTAGAATAAATAGAGTGAACAAACAGTTGTTTGGAGTAAATATAAGATTAACTAAAGTCCATTCTTTGTTAAGGTATATTTGAAACATTTAAGTAGCTTTCTGAAATTAACCTCTGATGCTGCAACTTTTGAGATGTATTAGGTAGCCTTATTATTATTTTTTTGGCTCATCAGGAATATTTATGACATTTTGTGTTATTTGTAGAATAAATGTTGCTAGATTAGCTTGTTGCCAAGAGCACAAAATTAAATATAAAGTTAACCAACAATTGTTTGAATTATTTACAGAGTTTATAAGTCCTTTTAACTCCTCATTTAGTCTGGTATTAAATTTTCAACTTTACCTTTGGTGATAAGAATTCTGTAATATAATCAGTTGTTTGAAAATTTTAGTAGATGTGGGAGAGAAGACTGAATAATTCTTTCAGTTTTACAATGAGTATGTTGATGTTGAAATTGTTCTTGGTATTCTTTCTTGTCGCTAAGTTTGATGTTTCTGAAATGATTTGTGTGATGTATTTTCTTTCTTTCCTTTTAATTCTCCATTATAGTTTCTCTTTTGATAAATCACTTAAACTTATTTTCAGGGTAGGAATAGTTGTTCATATGCTCACAAGGTATGTGAAATATGATATTCTGATAACTTCTGATAATCTTTCTTCACAAAGGGAATTCCAATTTTTTAAAATCTGAAATACATAAGAATAAAAAGATATTGGTAACTTGGAAGGTGTAATAAAGAAAATGGTCTCCATAGGATCTTGTTCTGATTAATTTTAACTGACAAGTGACTCCCAAAGTTTTGTTGGCATCCCATTTCCAAAAGTAAGGATGAAAAGTTTTCAAGTACAATATTCATGATTGGTGCCCTAAGGTGAGTATCTGAACTGAAAAAAAATCATTCTCACAGTTTCTAAATAATGAGAAAAAAAATATTAATTAGTTCATGTTTTTTCATTGGGAGAAAAATAACATATAGTAAAGAATGATAAGGGTAGAAAGTTCATAATGATTAGTGTGGAGAATCTCCCCCCCCCCTAAAAAAAATTCTGCCATGACAACTGAAGATGTTTATTCAGAAATTATACATTATTAGGAGCTTGAATAACTTGAATGTGGATAGTCTGTGTGAGTAGTGGAATGAAAATGTAGAAAATGCAAGTTTAATGTTAGTTTAAATTTAAGAACTGCTACTTACCTCTCTGCATCATTAACAGCTATTACCTCACATGCAACTGTCATGGAATGTCCTGTGTATGGCCCAAGCCTTAAAAGAACTCCCACATCACATATTGGGGCAGCCTATGAATTAATCATCATTATGCTGTAACCCTCCACCAATAAGAAAGTGACACAACTTTCATGAGCAGTTATCCTCATGAGCACTAGCATATGATCATGGGCTCATTCTTTTCTTGGCATTCCCTGTGTTCAGACACGTGTTTATCCTGTGCTTTTTGAGTTTCTAGTTGATTTAATCAACTGCCTTTCTTTATTTAGTGCTACATTAATCTTGTCCCCTTTGCACTTCTATTCCATTCACACTTCAGTTTTTCTAGCCACCACATTTTTTCTTTTTGCTACTTAAAACAACTAATGCATAAAAAAATAAATGACCCAAGGCCCATTTTTACCAGTGGTAACTGGATGCACCTAATTTGTTCATGGAATTGACATTCAATGATTATCTTTTTAGCTCACTTAGTAAAATGAATGCCTTGGTGTGTGATAGGTCTCAGTATTCAATCGATGCTGAGTTGCTATAAATATTATGGAAATATTAAATTAATACAATCTTATAGAGCTGTGATGAACCATGGTATGACAACATATTCAATGCTGACATTTTAAACATATTACTGCTATTGTGCACCAAGTGATTGGTTCACTTTCTGCCTACTTCTCTATCTGTTTCATCCTACCTCTCCTGTGGACCCTTTGGCCATCTTTTCTACCTTCAGCTTTTGCTTTTGGCATTACTCTCTTTGATGAGGAACAAGTATCTCCTTCTTTTCTGTTTGCTATGCTCATAACCCAGATATGTGACTTTCTATCTTTTGCCTGTATATCATAATGACTTTTGGGCTGACTTACTTTGTTGTCCTCCTTCTGTATAAATTACACATTTATCAATGTCTTCCTTGCCCTCCTTGTCTTTGTGACTCTGTTCATATGGCCTAAGGTCATGAACCTTCTATATTTCTTGAATTCCAATCTCTTGTGCCCTTTCTGTCTTCTTTGGGTGATCCTCTTTTCTACTTCTTTCCCTTTCTTTCCTGCAATCTGTTTGTTTTCAATTTATCTTTACTCTTTTGCTATATCTCTACCCTTCACCTCTTCATTGGAGTTCTTTATTGCAACCCCAATAATTTTGATGGAAGTATTTTTAATCTTAACATGAAAATTGCTTTACACTCAGAGCAGTGACTAGTTTGATTCCATATATTAAAACATTAATTTTTTGCAAAAATATTTTATTAGAAAATCTTATTTCTTCTGTACTAAAGATTTATAATATTTACTGAAAGCTTGCCAAATTTCTTGAAGATACATAAATCATGTCATATCAGATGATGTATCGATACATTCATATCACAGCTTTATGATACGATAATTGTATCATATCACTGTATCATGCCACTCCTAATGTTTATTGATGACACTAGCCATTATGCTCTCTGGATGCAATTTTAAATTGTGGAAGCCTGTAATTGACCAGCAAATTCATATAAATAGTTTTGATTAGCTACATTTACGCAGCAACAGCCTCTGAAGGATTAAACAATTGGATTATCCTATTCATGAAAGTTTCCATCTTAAAAAACAACATTTAACAAGGCTAAGAATAAGCACTAATTCTTCTTAGTTTACAATACTGTGTAAAAACAGTAATGAGTTATACTTGAGTCTATACGCCAGTTAAGTTGTATAACTGTGGGAAGAAAAGTTTATGTAAGTAATCCAAAGATTTAATAAGGACTTGATTTCTGATACCTGTATATGTAGATAAAATGGACTGGTTTGAAACTCCAGACTGGATGTTAAACCATGATTAAAATTATTTTTTTTGGTGTAGCATTTCTGGTAATAATGTGGAATTCAGGCATACTTATTTTCAACAGAAAAGTGTCAAGTATCTTCAGTACTCAACTGATTCAGGAAATGTTAAGCAGTAAATAAGTTGAACCTAGAAAGCAAAGGAAAAGATGCAAACACAAGTGGATGAATAAATGTATAAATCTTTATTCGTATGAACACACTTGACTGCTGGGGGTCTTCACTTAAACTGAGTGGCTTTTGTCTGACAAACTTCTGGCTGCTGGATTGAAAGACAGTTTCTTCTTAATTTGCCTCTTGCTTGTAATTTGAACAACAGTTTGTTGTATGATTAATAAGAAACATTCTTTACATAATTTTCAGTAAGCCCTAAAACCAAGTGATATCATTAGTAAGTAGTAATTGTCTACATTCATATTGTATGTTTAAATTGAGGACATTAAACATAATCTCTCAATTTACCTTTATTTTATTTTCCTAAACCTTTTAATCAATCCAGTACTACACTTGTAACTGATGTGGGTAAGCACATGTTGCATACCATTGTCTGGAACAAGTGAAATTGATCTTTGTGTTTGTCGATTCTCACTTGTTACAAAACACTGCACTTTGCATACTACCATGGCTAGTGTACGAGTTGTTGCAACTGTCTTTCTGAGTGATCCTTGAGCCCCAAGTTCCTTTGTATGCCTTTGTTTTCTACTTCCATTAAGTACAATGATATTCTCATTTTGGAAATGATAAATCCATGAAATCTGAACACATCTTTGTAATCTGGGTGTTTGAATATTTCGTGTCATTAAGGTTTCATATATCCTTCTAAAAAGCAGTCAGTTTTCTATGGCATCACACCTACACCTACAAAATGCCAGACAGTATAAAAATGTAGTTCTGATTTGTGCCATTCCAACCCAACTTTTTATCAGCTGTGGCTGTCATGTGACGTGCAGATTGGCATATTCAAAATCGTTAATAAATGTACTCAACCCTCTGTACTTCATAGCTTTACTGATAAGGGTCTTTAGTGCTCATCCCAAAATCAACTATGGATAATAAAACTTTTTTTGTACTTCATAGCTTTACTAATAAGGGTCTTTAGTGCTCATTCCAAAATCAACTGTGGATAACAAAACTTTATTTACTTCACAGTAACAGTTCTAATTTAGTGCTTTTGGAGATGGTAAACCTTATCCAGAATTATGTTTCATAAAGTTTTAAGTCTGTTCATGTTGTTGTTGTGTCAATTGTTATAGGGCTTGGTAGTGTATGAAGTCTTCTCGTTCCTTATTCATTATTATCTAATCTAAATATAGTATTTTCTCATTTTCTATTCTTGTTTCATGGCAGGCTTTTAAAAAATGATGATTTTAAAACATTACTTAAAAAATATATAGGTTGAAGAAAAACCTCCCCCAGGAAAGAAGGTACCTCCCAAAAAATTTCCAGTCCTGTTTTTTGGAACCTATGAAACGTAAGTACCAGTTTAGTTTTTTTTCTGAAATCAGTGAAATGTAAGTACCACTTTTCTTTTTTTGTGACTCTGTGATCTAAATCAGTTAATTATATTTATTAATCCTTAAAGTCTGTGAAAGACAGTTATGTTATCTATGAATGGGTTGCTACCGGAATGAACCAATTTTCTCAGTAATATATGTATGCTGAGGTAAATGTGATAGCATGTAATATTGAAATGTGATAAAAGTGATTACATGTTAATTATATTAAACTCTTGGAGTCCAAATTTTAGTGTGTACAAAACAGACTTCCAATGCTTTTTTTTGTATCATTGTAAGTTATTATTAGTTATGTTTAGCTTACTAGAAAGAATTCTAAGTGTCAATTTTTAATTTTTTTTTTGTTTATTTCTGATAAACCTTGAAAGATGAGGTTAATTAGGTCATCTGTGCAATAAAAATTAATTTAACATTCATTCAGTTTAGTTAGAGCAGGGGTTTCCAAATTTTTTAATTTGATACCACTCTAGACCTTGGCTATCCTGATTATGGACCCACACCTAATGATATAATATACATTTTAACTAGTAGATACTCTGAGGTACCTTACAATATTTGAATTATAATTTGTTTTTTGTTTTTTAAATTGTATATTTATACATTGTACTTACTGCATTAAATTAAATTCTTGCTGAAAATATTACTTTGGCTATTGGAAAGTTTTAAAGAGAATATTTCTACATGTGCTGAGGCCCCATGAGACCATCTCACTGATATATGTTGGTCTGTTTATGTCAGTCTGGGAACAAGTGAGTTAGAACACTCATACGTTTATAACACAAATTTATGCAAATACTTTTTACCATTCATATGAAGCAATCACATTCAGAGGAGATTTTGATTCTAACCGTGATCTGGAAATCTTAGTTTTTTACAACAGTACAATAATAAAGCATTAGTAACATATGAATCTAACTTATTTTGCAGATGTTCTAGTGATACTATGGTTTATTAAACTTTTGCATTGTTTCAAAATCATTCTGTTTAAGAACTTGATTCCATAAACAATTGGTAAGCTTTAATTATCAAAGGTTAGAGTAACTTGTTTGACATTCTGACTGCATAAATATAGTAACAATTAGTTAATTTTATATATTAAGGTATGCATGACTTACTATTGCCTTCTTATACAATAACTTTCCTCCTCTTACAGAATAGCTTTTCCCAGCTTGTACTTCCTGCTATATGTGCAAATTTTTGCTTACCACTAGCCTTGATACTCTCATATATCCTTACATGAAGCAGCAGCGTGATAGCATGCAAATAAGCATGCGACAACCCTCCACCAATAGGAGCACAACACAACTCCCAGCACATCTGACTCTCTCTATACAGCTTAGCCCAAATTCACATGTTTTTCACTCTCACTTTACAGGATTTTAAATCAGTTTCTTGTTTCTTTTTATGGATATTGGGGTTCCTGCCGAAAGGATTGAGGACCAATTCCTTCCGAGGTCATTATGCCTCAACCCACATCTAATATGGAAGCCGATGGTATGGCTTACCATAGGTCTGCATTTCCTTTTTTGGACTCCTAGTAGTTGGATTCTCTTCTACCTGTGTGGGGTTTGGAACCCAATACATTGGTAAAATTTTCCAAACCTCAATTTTCCAGTACCAACATTACATTATCCTCCCTCTTTCATTGGCTTCCATTTTGTTTCAGACTCCTCCTGAACCTGTTTTCATGTCTTGTTCCTATCCTTCCTCTTCTTTACCAGTGCCTGCTAGACAGGTCTCTGAGGTTTACCACCAGTTCATTGTCAACAGCTTCTGTGATCCTAGTGAATACAAGGTGGGACAGGTCCAGTGGGGGCCAGGCTTTAGTGCTTTACCACCATTTGTAAGTCTTTAATCACAGACCCTTGGATTTGGCAGGTTCTCTCTGAAGGGCTCGTTCTTCGTTTCAGTTCCCCTCCTCACCTGTTCCCTCATCCCATATCATTCCCCCTCCTTGTGATCCAATTTCCAGCCAGTACCTTTCTGAAGTGGTTCTAGATCTCCTTCACAAGGACACTATAGCACATGGAGATCCTTCTCAGCCAGGTTTCTCTTCCTGTTTGTTCATAGTCCCCAAGAAGTTCTCTCTTCCTTGAACTGGTTTCACTCTTAGTCTTTGGATGATGAAGTTAATGTCTCAGATGCTTTCCTCCACATTCCAATTTCCCCACTGTACCAGCATTTCTTCGATTTTATCCATTGTGGTTGCATCTACTTGTTCTGGGCCTTTCTGTTTGGGCTAGCTTTAGCTCCCTATTGTTTTTGTTGTCAAGGCCTTTGCCCTACTTCTCCATTCCAGGAGCCTTCATATACACACTTCTATGGATGACTGGATGCTCCTAGCTCCTTTGCATGTCACCTCTTCCTTTCACACTCAGCTTCTTCAAGAGACTGCGTGGGTAGGTTGGCTAGTCAAGGTGGAGAAATATTTTCTCTCCCCCACACAATTTCATGCTCATCTTAGGTTATTTTTCACTTCCTGTCTCTTATCCTGATTGCCTCTTATGTCCTGTTTGGGCTCTCCACTGTTATGTGGCTTGCCCTACTACTTTCTGTGGTTCCCGTTCAGTTTTTTTCATTTATTGGTACCATTCTCTTTCTCGTGATACTTCACCTATTACCCTTACCATTTTATTCACCTGGTTTATTCTTCCCTGTCTCCCAATGATTGTAATCTATTCCAAGTCTCCTTCCTTCAAATATGTCACCTTATCATGTCCCTGGCTGCCCAGTTCTGTCATCCTTTAGAGGATATAGTTCCTGCCAGCATGTGGACCACTCTCCATACATTTATTTCACATTATCTTTATTGTGTGGCTGCTTACTGTCTACCTTTTGTTGCCATCTTAAGCTCCATGGTTTTCTCTATGAGTGGGTAGATGCTATTTTCCTACTTTTCTTCTTTACAGGGGGCCTTTCTTGCATATATAGATCTCACACAGTGGTGAGTGTTGCCTGTCCAGACATACTTATTCTTAAACTCACACGGTATGACCATTCAGGTCAATAATGCCCGCTGTTGAGATGGGTTGTTCCGCAAAGCTGCTTGAAGTTGTTTCCTTGCAGTGTTTTACATCATAAATATGTTCTCCCAGGACCATACACTCCTGAATTACCATGAGTAAAGCAGAAGGGGATTGCTGCTCATCCCTGCTGCTCCTTCATTAGACTTAATCAGGAATGATCTGCTTTTCAAAATAGGGTTTTGCAGTCAACTGTTGCACTGTATTCAGTGCTGCTTTTATATGGACTCTCCAACATACTGTTTCCTCCCTTCTAGCAATTTAACAACATGTACACTTTTAATTACCTTTCTGTACATGTCACAAAGCATTACTGAGTTAAATTCAAAATTTAATTAAACCAATTTACTATCAATGTATTTAATGAAATTAGCATTATCAAATGTGTTATCGTTCAAAGGTTTATATTATACAAGTTATTATTCCTTTATTTGAAAGGAAACCTCTGAAACACACAATTAAATCTTCAGTTTTGTGTCACCTGATGTGTGTGTGCAGTTGAGATATCTTAGGTTTGGTTGCTTATGTTTCTTTACAGCTTACTTTTAGTATCTCTATGGCAGTCTATGTGTACAAGTTCAAATTCCAAACATTAGTTTCAGATTACAACATGGCTAGAATTATGAGAAAAATAGTTATATACCCCCCCCCCCGAGCTTATATTCTGGCTTATATTCCAAAGTAATCTGCCCCTGACAACAGTCTTTTGTAGCCTTGAATGGGATGCTTATAACCAATAGAAAGAGCTTATTTCTCGGTTAGTCTCTCCCAGGCTAGAAGGCAAGTAAGTAATAGATTATCTTCTAAATGATAAGCAAGGTTTGCTTAATATCTGTTGTGGAGATCAGTATCCCTAGCACTTGGCTATTTTTTCTCACTTTATACATATTACCTTGATAAACAGTTAAATTGCATTTAGGTTTTACTTTCATATTTTAGTTAATTATGCATTATTTATATTTCAAAGTTAGTATTTGAAAGGTTTAATGATTATTTAAGTTTTTCAACTTGTCGTTTCACTGGTCTTGCATTATAAAAAGAGGTGAGAACAAACATTATGCCATATGCTAAATCTGACTCTGACGATCATAATGTTATATTGCTTGCGGGGACCCATTAAAGTGCGTAGACATAAATAATAAAACATAAAGAATTGGAAAGGAAAATAAAACATTTAAAATAAACAAAAATTCTGAAAAGGTAAGGACTTGAAATTACACATATGACCCAAAGAAGATATTTTAAGATTATTCAAAGAAGAGATAAAAGGTAAGTACATTTCTTAATTTTAAATACTGTTCATTTATGATAATAGCTAGAGTTAGTGATATGGTAGAGAAAATGGAAAATAAAATATAATTATTTACCTTAAAAAACTTTTGATATTCATTTAGGAGGTTCTAGATATTATGCAAGTGAAATGTGAAAACTGTAGGATAAAAAGTAGTATTTTTATACTTAACATTAAAATCAACTTGCAGGTGAACTATTCAGAGTCCAAGTACAAAGAACTCTATTAAATAATGAAATTTTATTAGAAGTAGTAGAAAAAATCGAAATATTTTTTTTCCTCAAACTACATACCTTTAGGAAAGTTCTAGTCAAATTTCAAACAATTTAATCCACTAATTTTATTTTTGGGATGAAATATGGTGAGAGTGATGTTACCTAGTTACAATGTGAAAATCTGGTAGCCACAGGGCTAGTACAATATGGGAGTCCTTGTCATTTATTACTGGGTGGTGGACCATGGAGGCTTCCTCCTAAGTATGCTCAATTCCACTCAGTGAGAGTCGTCAGTAATCCTTTGATAATCGAAGATGACGAAGAGAGGGGGGGGACCATCAATGCTTGGATTGTCAGCTGTGATTCCAGCACTTGTGTAATTGGAGCCAAAAATTGCCAGCACATCTCTTTTTACAAATATCACATTGTACTGTGCTAGGAACTGTAGGCAAAGCGTGTCTCCAAATATGATGATCCTGTGAGACCTTCATCCACTTTTGGTGCACAACCTCCAAACTATCTTTGATGGATTTACACCATTTGGTATAATCATTGGCTAGGGACTCCCAATGGGTAGTAGGTATATCAGCTGTGATCAGGTGATGCTTTATTACATCTTTGTAATGAAGCTTTGGTCCACTTCTTCGTTATTGACCAGAGGAAAGTTCTCCATAAAGTAGAGTTTTCAGAAGTCTATGTTCTGGCATATGTACCACATGAACAGCCGAGCACAGTTGTCTTTTAAGAAGCATAGCTTCTATGCTGGGCATATCGGCTTACTTCAAACCTCCTTCTTATGGATTCCAAGATATATTAAGGATCATTGAGGTGTATGCTGGACAGTCTTTTAATATGACAACAATAGAGTGTATAAGTCTCCACTGAACACAGTAGGGAGCTGAGTACCTTGGCTTTCTGTCATATGCCACACAGTTTCCAAACCCTCTTGTATAATTGCCCAAAAACAGCAGATGCTGCTTGGATTCAAGCTCTGCATCGAGGCTGTTGCCATTAGCAACTATACTACTAAGGTAAGTGAACTGGTTAATGACATTTAGCTTGTCATCAAAGAGAAAAAGAATTGGCTGTACATAGTGAGAGTTAGGTGATGTTTTATGGAGGACTTTGGTCTTTTTGATGTTAATCATTAGGTCGAAAGCAGCAGATGCTTTGGAGAAGTGATCTAGAATGGTCTGCAGACCATCTATCGAATTAGATACAAACACTGCATCATCAGCAAACAACAACTTTGTGATGCAGATTTCCATAGTCTTAGTGCAAGTTTTCAGTCTTGTGAGATTGAAAAGACCACCGTCGATTCTTGTGAGGCTGTAAATTCCCTTAGCAAGATTAGCAGATGTATGATCCAGAATAGCAGCTAGAAAAAGAGTGAATAACGTGGGAGCCAATACACAACCTTGTTTGACACTATATGGTACCGATGTGGTACCCTCGTGTGAGACCTCTCCATTCATGCCAACAAACTTCTCTGGACAGCCAACTTTAGTGAGCAATGCCCACAGCACTTCTCACCCTACATCAGTGATTCCCAACTTGTGGTCCCCGGACCCCTGGGGGTCCGCGAAGATAATACCATCTCATTAAATAAGTAAGTTTTTTAATTCTGCTGTTCTTTTAATTGCACACTCACTTATATATGTCTTTTATTTGACAGTGAAAAATGGAAAAGCAAGTTAATTATTAGTAAGAAAAACAGTTTTAGGCCATGGGGAAAAAAAAAAAATAATAAAAGGGAGTCCTTGGTGGTGAAAAGGTTGGGAACCACTACCCTACACTGTCAAAAGCTTTGATGAATTGACAATCATAGCATGCAGTGGCATGTTTTGTTCAATACATTTTTCATCAATTTCCTGAAAGGAGAAGATCATATCGGTCATGCTTCTGTTCGCTTGAAAACAGCATTGGTTTTCTGGTAGTATATGTTCTGAGATTGTTTGTAACTGTCAAAGTAGTATTTTGGCAAGAATTTTTCCTGTGGTTGATAGAAGCAAAATACTTCTGTAACTTCTACAGTCATGTTGATCTCCTTTACATTTGTAGATTGGTACAATTATGGCATCCTTGAACTCCTGAGGTAGTTCTCCAGTCTGCCAACATTGTTCAAAAAGGTACAACAATTCTAGTTTTAATACTAGTCCTCCACTTTTTAAAATTTCAACAGGAAGACCATCCAAACCTGGTGCTTTTCCAGATTTAATCATTTTTCATTGTCTTCATAAGTTCTTCCAGAGTTGGTGGGTCATTGAGCATTGCATCGATTGAAGTTGTGGCATCTGATCCAGGACTAAATCATGAATCACTGAGGTCTTATTCATCAAAGTATAAAAGCATACTTTCCATCTTTAAAAGATATCAACCTTGTTTATAAACTGTTGGGAACCATCAATATTCTTGAGCAGAACAGTTGTTCTGCACTTTGGTCCATATATACTCTGATGCAGAGTTAGGAAAATGTTAACTTCTAGATGTCTTTGATGAATTTTTAAGCCTAGCTGTGTTAATCTTATTTTTTTTAATGTTTTATTCTATTTCATCTTGGAACTTTTTTTCCCCTAAAAGAAAAAAGGTTGAATGTGTTGTTATAATTAGATATTATAAATCTTTTTTGCAGCTAAATTCTTTATATACCTGGTAATGTAATGTGGTTGTAATCCATTGGATAATTAACCTATATGTACTTGGTATGTGTTCATTTTGTACAGAAATAGGGAATTTATGCAAAAACCTTCCTTAATTAATATATTTGCCTGGCACAATCTAGTGATTTGGGTGCTTGACTTGCAAGCTGTAAGTCACGTAATCAAAACCTAGTCCTGAACATGCTTGCTGCTTCAAACCGTAGGAGAATTATAATGTGATGGCCTATTCCAAGGTTTGTTGGTATAGAGAAGGTGAAAAGTTGGTGGTAAGTACTAGTTGCCTTCCCTGATGTTGGCAGCTCAAAATTAGGGTTGGTGGCAGATAGTATTAGTAGTTTTGCTTTAAACAAACAGCAATATACTGCTTTGCTAAATATACTGATTTTTACCCAATCATCACTATTTATTAAATGCTGTTGTCGTAGTATGGTGTAACTGTTTTGTATATTAGCTTTGAGATGCCTTAGGCTACTGACCTAAACACATCATGAAAGTGCAGTTTCCATTGTTTTCAAATGTTAAGCCAAAAAGCTTTCAGTTTAGTGAGAATTTGAGTAGAGATCATACAAACTGATAAAAACATAGCTTGGTGATATATTTTAGGAGAAAGAGTGTTTGTGAACATCTACTACAGTTAGTTTTGATTTTTTTCTTACTTTTGGGGATTCCTGCTTCTCTTGAGACCTTTATTTCTCTTAGTTCTATACATATGCATCCCCTTCAGTGTGCTCTGGGGGATTGATAAAATATGTCCTGTAATCCATCAGCAACACTTTAGTCTTTCCCTTCACCTCTGAATCTCACTCTGCTGTGATGGCTTGATTGCTCCAACATGACCAAGGGTATTTCCCCCCTCCTTCCCAACCAAACCTGCATCTTTACACCAGTGCCTGCCTCTTTTTCCAATTGGTGGTGTGGTAGTTCACTACACTACCACTCTCTCCATAGTCTGGTCTCCAGAAGAGCAATTTTTATATAACAAATTCTGAAGATGTCTGCTGCTTATTGGGCTTGCTATCTTTGGTCACAGTTGTTGGGTCATTGTGTCATGATCTACTTAATGGCACTTGCTCTCTAGACCTATGCTTTCTCTCACACGGTTTTCTTTATTTGGCTGGCAATCATCACATTCACCTGGCGGCCTATCATGTCCCTGGAATTCTAAATCTAATAGTGGAAAGCTTTTTCTTTTTTTTGTCTGGATGGAATCCATCTCACTGAGTGGTTCTTGCATCTTTCAGTCTTTTAGTAGATTTGTGCCCCATTTTGGGACCCAACTAATCAATGCATTTGTGACACTCTTTAGTTCTAAGCTTTCTCTCATTTTTTTTAGTTATTAATCCCAGACTCAACTGCTTTGGCTGTTGATGTTCTGAGTCTGGATTGGTCCAGTATTTCTCTTTATGTCTATTCTTCTCTTTACTTTTATCCCCAGGTCTTATTTGTCATTCATGACACCATTTTCTTGGTTGTCCAGATTGCTTATTTGGCTGGCTAAGTCATAGTTTTTACTTCTCTGTTGCTTGTCATCTGTGGAACCTCTACCCCCTTCCTCTTTAGAGGTCCTTCCTCCAATAACATCAAACATCCATCTCTCATGATAGGGTATTGCACTTTCATCTTGTGAGATAAAAGATATTTTACTACAAGGTAGCCCATTTTCTTCTCATTCTTGTTAGCCTTCTACTCTTGCATTCTGTCAGAGTAAGTTGGCTGTTTACCTTCACTAGTCCCTCTACCATGTCATCCTACCTCCTTCTTTACTTTGCTTTTTGACAAGGTCCTGTCTGTTTCGAATATTGCAGGATATCGAGTGGCATTGTCCACAATTTTCTGCCTCTGGCCAGGCACTAATCTCTTCCTTTTACCTGTTTTTGCAAAACCAATCAAGGCCTTTTTTGTCCATTGCCCCCATCCTTAAACTAGCCCCTCTCCTGACTGGGACCTCTGTGTGGCCCTTCAGGCTCTTGCTTGCCCTCCATTTGAGCTGTTGGTTACTTGTTCCTTTTATTATTTGTCCTTGAAAATATGTTTTCTTCTTCTACTTGCTTATGGTTTTGTCATTTGTACATACATGCCTTAAACATCTCCTGTACTATATATATATCATATGAACTAGTTGTTGTTTCCTGACTGCTCCTTTCTTCCAAAGAATTGAGCTACTCAGGAGGAGGATTGGAGGCTTTTTTTCATCTCATTCCCATTTATTTTTCATTGTACATTATTTCTGATCCTTTTTGTCTTATGTCCTATGCAGGTTGCCCATTGCTACCTCACTTGGACTACCATTGCCTATTTTTACCATGGCATAACATATAGAACTAAACACTTCTCTACTGATATTTGTTGTCATTGGATCCCACTAAGTGACGGAGTAAAGAGAGTGTTAAACTCATCCACCCCTGCTCAGTGACCATTGTCAAGATGAGGTTTTCTGCAAGACTTTAATTGACCTGACCATTTCTGCACTTTTTAGAATAAAACAAAATACACCAAATCTAATCATGCCTTTACACCTAGCTTGCACTTGCTGTCTTTAATCATAGTAACCCATTACACTGTCTTTTGGTGGAGACCCAGTTCCAGATTATTGTGTTACAGGCCCACACATATTCTACATGTATCATCCCCTGTTCTTTTAGTGGAAGAAGGGGAAACCCTTACTTTCCCAGTTCTAAGCTTCTGTATAAGTCAATATGGAGAGTTTCATCTGTGAGTGGTGCCTTGGTCCCAGTGAGAAACTGGTTGAGCCTACCCCTCATTTGAAATGTTGGACTAGGGTGTTACTTGGAATTGTAGTAAGAAAGGAGCACATCTTTATAACTGTTCAGCACCAGCCAAACTTTTAAAAAGTGTCCGAACCAAGTTCAAGCCATACCTCACAGCTATTAATCAGGCTAAAGGTGCTATACTTGAATCATTTCCATTTCATTATGATTGAGTCTAGATACTTTAAGTTGGCAGCATTCAACCTCCCTTATAGTACTTATAGTTTTATAGACTGTTTCGATATCATATGGGAAAGTTCAAGCTTTTACAGATCTTAGCTTTACTATCAAAATAAAAAATGGTATTCTAATTTGGTGGAGTGCTGAATGATAATTGTTTTTTCAAGGTGTGCTCTTGTTTGTGCAATTAAAGATTATTTTTGTTTTAGCATGTGTCCTTATCTAACTGTTTGTTCTACCTGAATTTCAGAGCTAATCTTGGTACTAAAGATCTGTATCCCTATCACAAGTTTAAAGAAAAATATGGAAATCCTCAAAAGAGAAAGTTTTTTAATGAAGGACTTTGGGAAATTGAAAACAATCCTGCTATTATACCTCCTTCACAGATGGTAAGCAAATAAATAATGTCAGGTAACTATAAAAAGTTATTGTTACTTAAAGTTTATTATTCACATAATATCTTAGTTTGAGCCCAGGTGGTTGTTCTTGTAAATCTCATTCCACAAAAGTATATATTGAAGGCCTAGAGTATCAGCTGTTCATGAAACTGTTGAAATACAATTTCAAATATAGTTGTGCATGTAAGTTCCACACCTTATCTGTTTACACTTAGTTCAAAAATTGAGGAAACAGTTAAGAGTATTAATTATTTAAATATTTCCACATCATAATATAGTGTACAGTAAGGTGAATCGTGTTAAATTAGAAAAGTTCATGATAGTAAAAATGTATGTAAGACTAAAGTATTGTAAATTACTTTTATCATTTTTATTTGAATGAATTAGCTGACACACCTTATTTTGTTTCATTGCTCAATCATAAAATTTCAAGTACTAAGTTTTAACTGCATGTAAATGTTCAGTGCCAAATGGTTTTTATAATGTTAGTTATTTTTTCTTGGGCAGTTCTTAAACATCACACACTAACATTGAGTTACCAATTTTTTTTTTTAACACTGTTCACCACCAGCATCATCCAAGTACTGCATTGTATTAAACAATTTTATGTTTTTGCCTGTTAGAACTCTTAAACAAGCAGTTATTAAGAGGAATTAGTTATAATATCAATAGCATTGTTTTTTTTACATTCTTTGAATGACTTATTTATTATTTGTAACAACATATTCATGGACTCGCAATCAATTTCATGCATGAATAGTTTAGAAAAATGTGTTTCAAAAACAGATGTGTGGTCCATGATCCCATTGATAATTTTAGGATAGTAGACTGTGTTTTAATTAATATGTATGTATGCAAGTTAGGTATCTAAACTTTTGTTTCTGAATTTTGAGGTTACATGCTCACTTTTTTTTCATTCCAAAAGCTGAGTCTAATTTTGCAAAATTATTTTTAAATATTTGCCCAAGTTTTGAAAGTAATTTTAAAAAGTATTTTGTTTGTTGATGCTCTTCTTAAAAGTTAAGCTTTTATATAAAATTTGATTACAGTACTTATTCTTCCTCTAATTTGGTTTTCAGAACATCTATCACATTTTGACAGTTATCATTTAGGTTTCTGTTATGGAGACTAACAGAACAGTAAACCATTTATGAAAATGAAAAAAAAAAAAAGATAATATTCATATAAATTTGTAACACATGCTTTTGTGCTACTGGTAATTTTTTTACAGTTTCATAAATATAAACAAATTGGAAAGAGGACATACTTGTTAACAACAAGAATGTTTTCATTATTTGAATGTATATACAAGGACATTTAATACTTACAGGCACAAGTAAAAGTAGAACTGCACATAATCTGTTTGTTTACGCCTAATGTAAATGTATTCTTCAGCTAAGTTTATATGATTCAAGAAGGTTTATTAGAATTATAAAACTATTCAATACCAATAAAGAAGTATTAAGTAGATGTATGAAAACAATTCTTGTTTTGGCCTCATTTACTGCATTCTGACAAAAAGATCAATTCTATACACACACACACACACATACATACATATATGTAATCCATACATACATATGTATGTAATCCATCGAGGCCTTTCTGGTAAGATTAGCCTTGCCTCTTCATATGACTTACGAAAATCTTACTAACAAATTGGCATTACTCCTCTGCCATCTGAAATCTTGAATATTTAAGTAAAGAACTAACTGTATAGTTATTTCTTGCAGCCAATAGAACCTGATAATAATGATTTGGAAATGAGTACAAATCTGGAAGAGCCATCTGGTGAAAATGAGGACTTCGATACAGAAGATGAGCAGAACAAAGTAAGTGTCAAATTTGCCAAACAAAAATTAATTATTGAAGCAAATGGCAAAAAAATAACTGGTATTGAATAAGTGCTTTGCTTTTAAATACATTTATTGATATATAGCAACTAACACATGTTTGATAATTTGTACAAACACCTGATTTTTGAGAAATTTCACTCAACATAACAGGAACTAAAAGCATAAACAGTGTAGGATAAAAAAAATTATGGCTTTGAAATAAGTATGAAATCCAATTATGGGTTTAACTTTTAATAAGAAACTAAATAATTATCAATAAATGCTACTTGTATAGATCAAAACTAAAAATTAACCCAGTACTTAACTGGATTTACAAAGTGTATCTTCATGTAATGTGATGAATTTTTAGTAAAAAGTACATGTCTGTTGTACATAAAAAATTAGATGTGTTAATAAAATTTTTATACTAGAGATATATTTGTGAAATGCTAAAGTTGGTCTGACTGTGATAAATTTGACTTGTGTCATATTAAGCTTGTACATGTGATGGGGTCAAAGTGTGCATCTCGCAACCTTTTTACAGAGATACATTCCAATTTTAACTAAGCACTTTGATATCATTGTATGTTAATAAATTTGGCATCAAAACATAATTTATTATCTAAGTGGTAATTTTAGCTAAGTTTTAATTTCATAATTTGTAAAGGAAATGTTTAAGTTATTTCTCATTTTGGCACTCTGATTTCCCAATTTTAATTTTTATCTTTGCCTTTATATGCATTTCAGAGTGTCCAACAAATTTGATGAACATGATATACATATTAACAACCAAGAATATAAATATGAATGTCCAGTCTTTGTCTTTAAAGATGTTTATATTATTATGTAACATTGTTGTTGGAAAGGTTTATAATCAATAGAAAAAGAATAGATTCCAAACCATTTTAGTACTTAAAGCTAGTAACTTGCAGGTAAACATTGAAATATGTTGACTAAAGTCACTGCTCTGAGCAGTAATGGAATTTTTTAAACAGACTTATAGCTTAGCTGGAAAGCCAGTTAAATTATAGTAGTTTTTAGACATTCTGTGCATTTTATAACACAAAATATATATATAATGTCTGATGTATTTTTTGTGTTATAAAATGCATATTTGAAAGCAACATAAATTATTTTGTAGACAACATACAGTATCAAATCTTTGTATTACAGAACAACACTTTTTTAAAACTTTTATCAGTATTTTATGTACTGTGGCATGAAATTGTATAATGTTTTAGTAAAAACAAATGCTTTGTGTATAAAAAGATACCAGTTAAACTTGATGATTAACTTAATTAATTGCTATAATCGACTAGTGTTGCTTAAAATAATCAGTTAATTGAAATTACAGTTTAATAGATTGTCACAAAAATAACTAACTAATCAAAATTAGTGTTTCCAGTTATTATTGTTTTCAATTATTCCAACTATCCAAGTGATCAAAATTTTACCATTATGAATTCTTATTATTACTTTCAATTTGCACCACAACTCACTGATTGAAATTAGGATTTCTGATTATTACTTTTTTTCAGTTATTCCAACCATTCAAGTAATCAAAATACTGCCATCATAATTTCTCATTATAGGTTTTTGATTAATAAAAGTTTGTTCAGCTTTGGACTGACATGGCTTGGTTACTGGGGAAACCAATACTGGAAACACTTAGATCTTATCAAATTAAACAAAGGGTAGTTTGGAAATGTCTTAAAAAAAAAAAGAGCCAAAAAAGGAAGATCGACCTTGTGAGAATAATCAGTTATTTGAATGCAATCAATTAATGAGCTTGAATGATTAATTGATTAACAAATGCCATTAATCACCCAGCTCTAAACACCATTAGAAAAAGCAGTGCTTTTTTCTTTATCAAATTACTTTTCACATATACCAGCAAGAAAAAAAAACCATTGTTTTTAAATATCAAGAATCAGTTGACAGTCTTATACATACAAAATGAAAGAAGATACATGAATATGTTTTTAATAAATACAGCTATGTACTTTCAAATTGTAAATTAATGTTCTTGGCTGGAAGCTGTAAAGGACATGCAACCAATTGATTGTAGTATAAAAAAAAAATAATGTGTAGTTGAGCTTGTTACCTATGTATTATGCTTGAGTCTGCAATAATATTCTAATAACCACAACACATGTTATTTTATTCCTTTATTTATCATTTCAGAGTATGTCTTTACCCTCTAATAAGAAAAGAAAGTCAGAATATAAAGATGAAGAGGTGAGCTAATGTTTTATAGATAGATAGATGGACAGACCCATTAGAAGATGTGCATTGAATGTATAATAGTTGATTATATATATTTTATAAGACTATATATATTTCACCATCCAGAAAGTTGTTTCTTGCTTGTATAAGTAAGCTAAAATGTGAAAATATTTTGCAAAAAAAAAAAGTAATTTTGTTTATATATCCAAATTTCTTCAACTTGTAGTTTTTCCTTATTGTGTGATATTAACGCAAATACCATCTTGCTAATTTTTTGTCTCCCTTCAGACCAAAAACTCCAAAAGTGGTGTGGAGGGAGATCAGTTGTCTGATACCACCCACAAGGTAGCTAGAAGGGTAAGTGTTTATGCTATAGTTTTTTATACTTTTGAAGTTGTAATTCACACAAGAAATATGCTTCTTTATGAAGAACAAAGTGATGCATTGAATATGAATTCTCCCAAAACTGTTGATAAACATTTTTATGCTCTCTTTCATTGAAATATGGTTATACGCTGTTTATTCATCACAAATTTCAAACCGAAGATCAAATAAGCACAGTTTATTAACCCTATCGCTACAGGTCAAAGGCCATGTCATAGTGTTTGTTGACTTGCATTCAAAATTT